AATGTCAGAGTACAGTCATCTGTATATGCATGGGGTTCTGGGAGATGAAGAAGGTCATTGAGGTAGACATTCTGTAACAATGGCCCAAGCACACTTCCCTGTGGAACACTTGCACCAATAGGGTGTCTTGTTGACGCTGTCCAGTTGAGAATTACTCTTAGAGATCTACCTTGAAGGTAATCGCAGAGTAGGCAGAGTGCAGAGCAGGTGACTCCTAGTGTTTATTCTCTTATTCTCACTCTTCTCTGTCTGGTGTGGTATATGTCTGTAAAAACTTGCATTTGTGGTCACAGTGGGGCCAATTCTGACACTTCTGTGGTGTATAGAAATATAACCTAGTTGGATGGATCTTGTTAAGCCAACATAGGCAAGTGGTGGTTATTAAGCAGACTGGCCTGAAAGTTTTTGAGCTCACCTGCCATGGGTTCAAGCCCCTACCTGTTATGTTATTTATTTGCAATATTGTTAATATAGTTTTATGACTCATTCACAAACATTCATAATTATTGGAATATTGAAACTCTGGAACAATCAGGCATTGAGGAAATCCATGATAACTAAAACTGGTTCAGAAATGCCTCTTAAGGAACAAACTTAGTAATGTTGGTCTTGCCAGTGGTTGTAATTTTATTTGTCTTCCTTGTACAGTACATCATGTTGGGTTGCAGGTGTAGGAAGTGTATAATTACAACATATTATCTGTTTGTAATTACCCATTTATAGGTACAAGTGCAGAGCTATGTTCATATTCAGCTTATGTACTGTGTTGAATTCATCATATATTTTAAGGTTTTGTGTGGGAGTGGTTGATGATTAGAACACTGATTACAGCATCATGTCTGCATGTTTTGTTATGGCACATCACTCAGCTTAACAATTATTTTCTCACTCATTTTCTGTTATGTGCCTTAAGTACCAGCATGTATATAAGATATAATAATATTATATCTGTGTTGTATATTGGAATTCCTTGCAAAGTATGTAAGACTTTGACATAAGAACTTTAATCTGATTAGGACTTACTCTCACTTTCTGTAATCTGTCAAGTACATACAGTGGAACCTTGGTTGTTGAACTGAATTCGTTCCAGATGTCGGTTCAACAACCAAAATGGACAACAACCAAAGCAATTTTTCCCATAAAGAATAATGTAAATGGAATTAATCTGTTCCAGACCCCAAATGACAGTATAATAATTTATTAATATTAATGTACTAACTACTACGTAAAACATTGTATAAAATTATACAGCACAGGGAAACTGTAAAAAGAAATACTTAATGAAAATTTAACTGAAATACTGTACAGTAAATTAAAATTTAGCTGCCTCTTACCTGTCAGAGGAGATCTAATGGCAAAATTCTAGTGACTTCAAATCTTGTGGGAGAAGGCTGGTAGGCCTACATGTGAGAGAATGGGTCTGCATGGTTAGTGTGTGTGCAGTATAAAAAAAAATCCTGCAGCATGCAGTGCATAATGAGAAAAAACTGCAACTGTGTTTTTGGTTTAAAACAGCAGTTTTGCAGTGTACAGTGGTACCTCAAGTCATGAACTTAATTCGTTCTCGAAGGCTGTTTGAGTGCCAATACCAAACAAATTTGTTCCCATAAGGAATACAGTGGAACCCCGAGTTTCGGCCATAATCTGTTCCAGGAGCTAGGACTAAGCTCGAAAAGGCCTAAAGTCAAAGCAGTATTTCCCATAAGAAATAATGTAAATACAGTTAATCCATTCCAGACCCACAAAAATATTCACAAAAAAAATCATTTTTTAAAGAATAACTATAGTTTAACATACATATAATATACTTAAAACATACATATAGTACTTAAATGAGTAATACAATACATAAATAAACATTTAAATGAACATTTAAAATCAAATTTATGTAGAGTCTTGCTGGCATCTGGAAGATAGAGAGGAGGAGAGAGGGAGGACTTATTGTTTGTAAGGGGAATCCCCTTCCATAAAGACTTAGGTAACAAGTCCTTATCTGAGATTACTTCCCTTCTTTGTCTTTTAATGCCACTAGGATCAGCTTTAGAATCACTGGACCCCTGTCGCACAAAATAACTCAAAATAACTGGCATCTCTTTAAGATCGCCTAAAATGAGACATTGTTTTGTCACTGAACATGTTGCAGAGATGGCTTGTTGCATCTTGCTCAGGGTGGTATTTTTCCACAAAACTTTGCAACTTATTCCACACATGGCCTTAATCACTGAAGAAGGCACCTCCTTCACTCCTCCTCCCTCCTCCTCTGAAGCAAGTTCCTCAGCTGTGGTCTGATGCTGTTCCAGTTGAAGCTCTTGTAGTTCGTCAGTGGTTAGCTCTTCCCTGTGGTCCTCCTCCAACTCTTCCACATCCTCGCCACTTACATCCAACCCCATGGACATCCCCAAAGACACAATAGATTCCACAATAGGTGTAGGGTCATCAGGGTCAGTCTCAAACCCTTCCAAATCCCTCTGTAGGACACATTGTGGCCACAATTTTCTCCAAGCAGAGTTCAAAGTTTCTTTGGGCCCATGGTGGCTTATTTCACGGTTACAAGCATTAAACAAGCACTAAACACAATGAATTTATTGTGAAACGTTTGGATGAGCATGCAGGGTAATGTTCACTCAAGGATAAACAAAGCTAGACTGGCTTACGACGCCTGCGCGGGCAGGCGGACAGGCCTGGTACACTGGCTGAAACACGGGGCACAGGCCAAAACTCGGGAGAAAATTAGCTGAAAAAAGCGGTCGAAACTGAAGCGGCCGATACTCAGGGTGGCTGAAACTCAGGGTTCCACTGTAATGTAAATTAGATTAGTCCCTTTCAGATCCTCAAAAATACACTTACAAAAGCACTTACAAAAATACACTTAAATAGTTGTTCCAGTTGGGAGCTGTTTGAAACTCGAGGTACCATTGTATTTTGTATGGTATTTATGGTTGCGTTCTCATTTTCTTGGTCTCATTTGATAGAAATAGACATGATTTTGAATGGTTTACAAACTAAAAGTTGCTTGAAACTGAGCTCAAAGTAGCAGAAATGTTTGATTTCGGTCGATACTCAAGAGTAAACAAATCACACCACGCATCCAGTACACTTCAACTGGTGGGGCTAATATGCATTCATGAATGTGTTGACATTATTTATACAATTATTGCAATTATGCAGCATTCTGAATAATAGTAAATCTTAAATTTTTTGTGCGAATAAAAATTAAAAAACGAAAAGCAAGTGTAATATAAGAGGGGCCTGGAGATGTGACTAATAAACAGAGAAAATGTTATTTTAGTGCCAGGAATGTCTGCATTGTTTTTTCTGGACCCTATTTTGAAATTGGCCTTTCTTGAATTTTGTGTGAAATTGGCCAAATTAGTAATTTCAGATCACTTTATTGGGTAGTTGAAATAGGTAAATGGGTGGTTTCTTGTATTCAGTTGATAGAGTGAAAGGAGTTCTAGCAAAATAGCTATGAGTTTGGTTGACTGGAGCAATGGAATTGGCCCAAAATAGAGCTCAAAGTGGGCGAAATCGCCAGTGTGTAAATATCGCTGAGACCGCAACTTTGTGATAGCATAATTCCGTAAGTTTTCCATCAAATTTCGTTTCTTTTTTTTTTTCCAACCTTGGGAGCATTGTTGGTCAACCAGAGCAGGTACGAAAACCAGGACATTTTTTCTTAAGTTCCTTGTTTGAAAACCGATTTGTTCAAGAAGTAGTGTGTTCGACAACCAAGGTTCTACTGTATACAATGGAACCTTGGTTGTCTAATTGAAATATTACAATTATAAGTGTGAACACAACTCCTGTATACATTACTAAATTTAAAAGGAGAAACTTTCGCTTTTCTTTTTGGGCCACCCTACCTCAGTGGGATATGGCCGGTTTGTTGAAAGAATACGTTTACCTTGTGTTTCTATTGTCTTTTATATTTCAAGGAGGGGTGTTAATGTTGCAGTTTAAACTGTAGTGTGAAGCACCCTTCTGGCAAGACAGTGATGGAGTGAATGATGGTGAAAGTTTTTCTTTTTCGGGCCACCCTGCCTTGGTGGGAATCGGCCAGTGTGATAATAAATAATAAAAATTTAAAGATTTATCTTTTATGAGATAGTTTGTGTGTTTTATACCTGTAGCTACAGGAGTAAGGCTGATCTCAGAATGTAATAACCTTCTTCCTCTTTGTAACCCATTCCATTGTTCTGTATCCTGTTAGCACCTCTAATTCAGTTATAGTTCTTGCCCCTTATTCCCACTGCTGAAGTCTGAAATCTCAGTGTATTCTTTTGAAGCTTGATATTTTTTCTCTATCTTCTAATAGGGGGGACCCAGAAGGCAATCTTTTTTTTTTTTTTTTTTTTTACCTCTGTGAATCATTTTGTAGCATACCTTTGAATTTTATTTTTTTTTTTAGGTTGCCCATTAGTGTTTTCAGATTTATACCCATTTCCACTATTTATAATCTTCAGTAAATGGGTTAGTTCTCTCTCTTGCTCTTGTTCTCTGTTCTACTTGTGAACCTGAGTACCAAGAAGAGGATGTTTGACACTTAAGTAGGTTTCATCAAAGGTATGAAAGGATCGTCACAACCCGTCTGTTTTACCATTTGACACTACTTGTGGCTGTTGTAACTTTAGTTATATGTGCAAGTTTTCCTTCTATCTGATGACCAGAAGGAGTGAAAGGAGTAGTGCAAGATTGAGCAAGTGTTGCTGGAAGTACAGTAACATGTTGATTGGCAACTATGAAAATCCTTTCACTGCTAATTTTGGAACCTAGTCAAGGTTCACTAGTTCCTATTTATTTACATAGCTAGCCTGGTGTATAGCTGAATGATATGGGCTCAGTATTACACTGCACGTCTTTCACAATGTTTAATTAAAATGATAGCATGAGAATTTTCAGCCTGCCTAGATAGGCATAAAGGGTGTGTTGATTTATACATTTAAAAGCTTTATAAAAATTTTATGCCTTGTTTTTTATTAATATTATTGTCTTCTCCTCAGGTTCATATATGAAACAGAGCATCATAATGGTGTGGCTGAATTATTAGAAATTTTAGGAAGGTAAGTGTTGATTTTAGCAGCTTACATATTTTTATATAATTTTAATTGGTTGAATGTAATTATTTCTAATTATCTATGTAAAATGGTTGCAGCATAAACTATCTTACAGGGAACAGTACATATTTACAAAAAAAAAAAAAAAGTTATATTGGTGTATAAATGGGGAAAAAGTGCATTAATCCTTTCACTGTCACCCATATAGATCTACATTATTGATGCCTATATCGCTTACCTAGATATATGCATCAATTTTAGAAGCCATAAATTTGGCACGAGAGGCCTGGTGGGCTTAGATATGAGAAAATGGGTCTGCTCAGTCAGTGTGCAGAGTACAGTATACAAAAAATTATGACAGCTGCATTGCATCAAGAGATTGCATTCTTAATTTACCACTGTCCACCATGCCATACTGCCGTAATACTCTCATTTCTCGGAAAATTACGCAGAGTGGATGCATGTGTTGAGTGGGGCTCCACAAGGGTCAGTCCTAGGTCCAGTGCTGTTTCTTGTATGTATGAATGACAGGATGGATGGGATAGAATCAGAGGTGCCCTGTTTGCAAACAGTGTGAAACTGATGAGGAGAATACAAGTGGACGAGGATCAGGTAAGCCTACAAGGGGATCTGGACAGGCTGCAAGCCTGGTTTGACAAATGGCTTCTACAGTTTAACCCCACAAAGTGCAAGGTTATGAAGCTTGGGGAAAGGACAAAGGAAACTGCAGACAAGAGTACAGCCAAGGAGGTCAGGGACTGCAAAGCTCACTCAAGGAAAATGATCTTGGGGTGAGTGTTATACTGAGCACATCTCCTGAGGCACACATCAGCCAAATAACTGCTGCACCATACAGGTGCCTGGCAAACCTGAGAATAGCATTTCAACATCTAAAGAAGGAGTCATTCACGACACTGTACACTGTGTACGTCAGGCCCATATTAGAGTAAGCAGCACCAGTATAGAACCCACACCTGGTAAAACATGTCGAGAAATTAGAGAAGTTGAAAAGATTTGCAACAAGACTAATCCCGGAGCTGAGAGGTGTGTCCTATGAGGAGAGGTTAAGGGAACTCAACCTGACAAAACGAAGACAGGATATGATAACAACGTATAAAATACTGAGAGAAATTGACAAGGTGGATAGAGACAGGATGTTCCAGAGATGTGACACAGCAACAAGGGGTAACAGTTGGAAGTTGAAAACTCAGATGAGTCACAGGGATGTTAGAAGTATTTCTTCAGCCATAGAGTTGTCAAGAAGTGGAATAATCTGGAGTGATGTTTTGGAGGCAGGATCTATACATAGCTTTAAGGAGAGATATGATAAAGCTTAGGGAGCTATGACTCAACCCCTGCAAACACAGTTAAGAAGTACAATTAGGTGAGTGCATGTGTACACATGCACACACACACACACACACACACACACACAGTGTGCACACACCCACATAACCATCCTCAGAACCCCCCAGCCAAACACACTATCCCAACACAAACCACACTCCCAACCCCCACCCCATAATATGCAGTAAAATCCCAAAGCACCTTGCCAGGCCCCCACCCACACACCCCCAGAATACAGTGTTGGAGAGGAAACTGAAGGTATGGTACGCCAACACTGTTGGAATAACGAATTAGTGGGAAGAGTGGCACAAAAGAATTGCAGATGCATCACCAGACACATTAGTTCTCACAGGAATGATAACAAATGCCATCTTTTTCCAACTATATATTGGATCCTGAGGAAAGACAGAGGGAACAGGGGGGTGGAGGAGTGGCACTGCTCCTCAAAAACCAATGGAATTTTGAGGAGTTGGAGAGAGGAGACAGAGGAGAAGCAAGGGACTACATAATAGGAACGCTTCAGATTGGAGGTCCGAAAATAACAAAAAAGGCACAATACCGTGACTGGAACACTCTGCATGTGTCTTAATTTCATCTTGTCGGTATTATATACAATTCTTGTACTACTACTACTACTACTACCATCACCTCTTCCTGCCTATATATAGCCGTCCTGCTCCACCTCTGGTTAGTGTGACTTTGTCAATGGTCCAAGTCGGACTGAAACGTCGTCGTAAGCTTCTCTCTTTTATGTGCGGGTTATTTGTGGAGGTCCGAAGGTGGTGATTGCAGTGATGTATAACCCATCACAGAATAGCAGGAGGGCAAGACAGGAATATGATGAGAGTAACAAAGAGATGGTTGACACACTGGCTGAAGTGGGCAGAAGGACCCATGTGGGCAGGGCAAAGCTACTGGTTGTGGGTGACTTGAATCACAAAAAAATCGACTAGGAAAACCTGGAGCCATGTGGGGGCCCAGAAATGTGGAGGGCTAAGATGTTGGAGGTGGTACTGGAAAACCTTGTGCATCAACACGTTAGGGACACTACCAGAGGGGGGGGGGGATGAACCAGCAAGACTGGACCTAGTAGTCTCCTTGAATAGTGCAAATATTGAGAATATCACATATGAAAGACCCCTAGGAGCTGGTGATCATGTGGTTCTAAGCTTTGAATACATAGTGGAGTTACACGTGGAGAGGGAGGCAGGAAGAGCAGGACAATTGAAACCAAACTCCAAGAGAGGGGACTACATAAGCATGGGGAATTTCCTGCACGAGGTACAGTGGGACAGAACTGGCAGGGAAATCAGTAAATGAGATGATGTAATGTGACAATGTGCAATGAAGCAGAGGTGGTGTGTACCCAAGGCCAACTGACATAATGAGAAGGCCAGGTTGAGCCCTTGGTTTGCCCAAAGCTGTAAAGAGGAGAAAAGCAAGTGCATTAGAGAACGGAAGAGGAAGAAGTGTAGAAGGCAAGGAACCCAGGAGAATAAGGAGAGTAATCAAAGCACAAGAAATGAATATTCACTGGGAAGGAGGGAAGCCCAACAACAATACAGCTACCCCTCCACTTTCGCGAGCTTCGAACATTCACAAATGCCCAGCTGCCCAGTCATACTTACCAAACGAATCCAGGAAAGAAGTACAAGGTTAACAAAGCCGTGAGTAAGACTGGAGTTAGCAAGGCTAGGTGGTGAAGGGTTCGAGGACATGCAGGAGGGTGAGGTGAGAGAGCTGGTTGAAGAACATGCACTGGGCCTAAATGATGAATTGTTGGAGATTGTGCAGGGAGGATGATGAAGAGGAGAGTGTTGCTGAGGCCCTCAAGCCCTCACCCTTGAAAAACTAGGGCAAGCAGTGAGAATGACAGCACAACTCAAACAATTTTTTTGCGACATAGACCCATCGATGTTGAGGGCTTTGAAGGTGATGAGCGACATTGGTAGGAGCATAATTCCCTACAAAACTCTGTTTGTAGATATGAAGAGGAAACGGTCTCAGTTGGCCATCACAATGTTCTTCACAAGGCAGCCTACCACTAGCCCTACCACCTCACCTGAACCTAAACCCATGGCAGAATCTGACTCCGTTGCTAACCCTGACTCTAGCAATGTCAGCAGTGATGCGGGCAATGAAGAGTTAGAATCCACACACTAGACTTACCATGCCATGCAGTTACACTTCATATAATCACCCCCATTCAACTGTCATCAATAACTGCATGGCTAACTATAATCACCATCATCATCGTCATTGTCATCATCTTCACAAGTCATCAGAGTTCGTCTGCCTAACCTTATGAGTGGTGAGTGTTTTGTTTGTTCATTATTTGTTATTAAACCATAACATAGACATGTATATACAATATTTTACCACGGTTTCGTGTGTTTTATGATTGTTCATGGTTCAATAGGTTAAGGAAGCAGTATTGTTAGGCTAAGTAAATGCTATTATTATATTTCCCTACAATATACTACATATTTGCTCATCAAAACATTCGCGATCGCTACACTACAGTATTATTATATTTCCCTACATCTTATTTGCACACCAAACATTCGCGAATTTTCAAGATTAGTGAGGTTCTTGATCCCCTAACCTTTGCGAATGTGGAGGGCCTTCTGTACAAAAATTATATAGCAATGAAAGCCAGATATGACCTGAAGCTGTTGTACAGTCACATCAGGAAGAAAAACAATAGTCAAAGACCAGTTAATCAGGCTGAGGAAGGAAGGAGAGGGGAGTACAAGAAACATCCTTTAAGTATGTGAGGGCTCAACATGAGATACAAAGAAGTATTCACAGTAGAGACAGAAATGACTCCAGAAAGATGGAGAGGTGGGATACACCAACAAGTGCTGGACACAATACATAATACCAAGGAGGAGATGAAGAGGCTGCTAAGCAAGCTAGATACCTCAAAGGTGATGGGGCCGGATAACATCTCTCCGTGAGTCCTGAGAGAGGGAGCAGAGGCGTTCTGTGTACCACTAACAACAATCTTCAACACATCTATCGAAACAGGGTGACTACCTGAGATATGGAAGACAGCAAATGTAGTTCCAATTTTTAAAAAAAGGAGACTGACATGCAGCATTAAACTACAGATCAGTGTCACTGACATGTATGCAGTCATGGAGAAGATTATCAGAAGAGTGGTGGACCACATAGAAAGGAATAAGCTTATCAACGACAGCCAGCATGGATTCAGAGACGGGAAATCCTGTGTCACAAACCTACTGGAGTTCTGTGACAGAGTGACAGCAGTAAGACAAGAGAGGGGTGGGTGGGTAGATTGCATTGTCTTGAAATGTAAGAAGGCTCTTGACACAGTTCCACACAAGAGATTAGTGCAAAAGCTGGAGGACCAGGCAGGTATAACAGGAAAGGCACCGTACTGGATCGGGGAATACCTGACGGGAAGGCAACAGCGAGTCATTGTATGTGATGAGGTGTTAGAGTGGGCGCCTGTGATGAGTGGGGTTCCACATGGGGTTAGTCCTCGGACTGGTGCTGTTTCTGGTATATGTGAATGACATGACGGAAGGAATAGACCAAGGATTCTCAACGTTTCCTCCATCATTAACCCCCTCGGCTTGATGCATCTCTCCAAAGGTGGTCAGATAAAATTAAATTATTCAGGTTTTGCACAAAAAAGCACAAAAATATTTACCCCTTGCCACGTAATTTTTTACCCCCAATTTACCTCTGGTTGAGAATTGCTGGAATAGACTAAGAAGTGTCCCTGTTTACAAATGATGTGAAGTTAATGAGGAGAATTTAGTTGGAGGAGGATAAGGCAAGACTACAGAGGGATCTAGACAGTCTGCAGGCCTGGCTCAGCAACTGGCTCTTGGAGTTAACCCCACCATGTGCAGTCATGAAGATCAGGGAAGAGCAAAGAAGACTGCAACAGAGTGCAGTCTATGGGGCTAAAGACCACAAACCTCACTTAAGGAAAAGGATCTTGGAGTGTGTATAATAACCGAGCACGTCTCCTGAACCGCACATCAACCAAATAACTGCTGCAGCATATGGGTGACTAGCGAACCTAAGAATAGCATTCCAACATCTCAGTAAGGAGTCATTCCTGACCCTGTAAACTGTGTATGTCAGGCCCATATTGGATTATGCAGCTCCAGTTTGGAACCCACACCTGGCCAAACAGGTTTGCAATGAGACTAGTCCCAGAGCTGAGGGGCATGTCCTATGAGGAGAGCTTAAGGAAACTTGACCTGATGACAGTGGAGGATGGGGGGGACATAATAACGACATATAAAATACTGAAAGGAATCAATAAGGTGGACAGACAGGATGTTTCAGAGATGGGACACAGCAACAAGGGGGTCACAATTGGAAGTTGAAGACTTGCACAAGTCAGGGATGTTAGGAAGTATTTCTTCAGTCAAAGAGTTGTCAGGAAGTGGAATAGTCTGGAAAGTGAAGTAGTGGAGACAGGTATCATACATAGGTTTAAGAATAGGTATGGAGCAGGGAGAGAGTGGATCGAGTGAAGAGGCAGGGCCAGGAGCTATGACTCAACCCCTGCAAATGCACACACACACCACACATACTAATATCTTGTAGGAGTGAGGAAGAGTCAGATGTGAGTGTAGAGGAAGTGTATGAGGCAGTGGGTAAAATGAAAGTAGGTAAAGCAGCTGGTATTCGTGGGATCCAGACAGAATTATAAGACTAATTGAGGATGGAGGGGTTGTGCATTTGTTTGTTTAATGCATGTAAGGGAGGGGGGAAGGTACCTTGGGCTTACCAGAGAGCATGCATAGTTCTTCTGTATAACAAACAAGAGCATAAGAATTTGTTGCATTTATAGATTTAGAAAAAGCATATGATAGGATGAACAGAGGAGCAATGTGGCAATTGTTGTAATGGAATAGATGATAGGTTATTAAAGATAGTAAAGAGTCTTTGTGGATAGTGAGGGTCATGTTAGGGTATGTAGGAGGGGGGGGGGGGATTATTTCCCAGTGACAGTATGCCTTAGACAGGGATGTGTATTAACTCCATGGTTGTTTAACATATCTATAGATCTTTCTTTCAACACACCGGCCGTATCCTACCAAGGCAGGGTGGCCCAAAAAGAAAAACGAAAGTTTCTCTTCTAAATTTAGTAATTTATACGGGAGAAGGGGTTACTAGCCCCTTGCTCCCGGCATTTTAGTCACCTCTTACAACACGCATGGCTTACGGAGGAAGAATTCTGTTCCACTTCCCCATGGAGATAAGAGGAAATAAACAAGAACAAGAACTAGAAAGAAGATAGAAGAATACCCAGAGGGGTGTGTATATATATGCTTGAACATGTATGTGTAGTGTGACCTAAGTGCAAGTAGAAGTAGCAAGACATACCTGAAATCTTGCATGTTTATGAGACAGACAAAAGACACCAGCAATCCTACTATCATGTAAAACAATTACAGGTTTTCGTTGGACACTCACTTGGCAGGACGATAGTACCTCCCTGGGCGGTTGCTGTTTACCAACCTACTACCTAGGATATTTATTGATTATTTATTTTATTATTATTATCACACTGGCCGATTCCCACCAAGGCAGGGTGGCCCGAAAAAGAAAAACTTTCACCATCATTCACTCCATCACTGTCTTGCCAGAAGGGTGCTTTACACTACAGTTTTTAAACTGCAACATTAACACCCCTCCTTCAGAGTGCAGGCACTGTACTTCCCATCTCCAGGACTCGAGTCCAGCCTGCCGGTTTCCCTGAACCCCTTCATAAATGTTACTTTGCTCACACTCCAACAGCATGTCAAGTATTAAAAACCATTTGTCTCCATTCACTCCTATCAAACACGCTCACGCATGACTGCTGGAAGTCCAAGCCCCTCGCACACAAAACCTCCTTTACCCCCTCCCTCCAACCTTTCCTAGGCCGACCCCTACCCCGCCTTCCTTCCACTACAGACTGATACACTCTTGAAGTCACTCTGTTTTGCTCCATTCTCTCTACATGTCCGAACCACCTCAACAACCCTTCCTCAGCCCTCTTGTAAAATAAGTGAATGCTAGAGTTTTGGGAGAGGGTGTGAAATTAAAAGATGATGAATCTAATACAAAGTTCTTTCAGGAGATTCTGAAAAACTGCAAAAGGTTGGTAAACGAATTTGGGAGGATGTGTCAACCTGCCTTGGTGGAGATGGCTGATGTGTTGAAAAAAAAAAGTGAAAAAAATATGTAAAAGAAGGAAATTAAAAGTGAACATAGAACCAGGCTGTGATATGTGGGTCAGCAAGTCACTAGTAACACTAGCCTGGTTGACAAGGCAATCACTAGATGAGAGTAGCCCAAGGCTGAGCTCTGGGAGTAACAAAAAATTTAGGCAGTTAAGATTGTATATCAAATTGGGGGAAGGAGTGTGGAGGAGGTAAATGTGTTCATATATTTGGGAGTGGACCTGCTGGCAGGTGGTTCTATGAGGTGAGCAATCGAATTGATGGGAAAAAGGTGGATTGTGTATCAAGGCATCTGTAGAGACAAGGAACCTTATCCAATGAAATAAAAAGGGGAATGTACCAGAGTATAATAGTACCAACATTGTTATATTGGTGTGAAGCATTGGTTTTAAACCCTCCAGCAATGAGGAGGCTGAAGGCAGATGTCATGTTTGAGGGTAGTGTGTTGTGTGAATATTATGCAGAGAATTTGAAGCTTGGAGATGAGGAGATGGAGTGTATTTACCAAAAGTATTATTTAGAGGGCAGAGGAGGAATTGTTGAGGTAGTTTGGACATATAGCAGAGATGGAGCAAAATAGGATGACTGGGAGGGCATATAAATCTGGGGTAGATGGTAGGAGGGGTAGAGTTTATCTCGGGAACCATTGGAGAGAAGGGAGGTTTTGCGTACTAGGGGCTTGGACATCTAACAGATTTGTGTTATCATGCTAGACAGGAGTGGAGGCAAGTGGTTTGTATGATCTGATATGTTGTTGGGGTGTGAGTAAAAATTCAGGGAAAGTATTTGCACTCTGAAGGAGGGGCAGGGATGTTGCATTTTGGATGGTTATTTAAGCTGTGATGTCAGCATGCCTCTGGCAAGACAGTGATGGACTAAATGAGAGTGACAGTGTTTCTTTTTTGGGTCACCCTGCCTTGGTGGGAGATGGCCAATGTGTTAAAAAAAAGAAATACACTGTATATAGCATTAAAAAGTGCAGTATTATTTTGTATGTATTCCATAATCTATGTCCTCTCTTCCTTTAGTATAATCAATGGTTTTGCATTACCATTGAAAGAAGAGCATAAAGTGTTCCTGTTGAAGGTTTTGCTGCCCCTCCATAAGGTTAAATCCCTGAGTGTATACCACCCTCAGCTGGCTTACTGTGTAGTTCAGTTCTTGGAAAAGGATCCTTCACTAACTGAACCGGTTATCATCACCCTGCTCAAGTTGTGGCCTAAAGTCCATAGCCCCAAGGAGGTTAGTCTTATAAAATGTTTAACATATCTAGAAAGAATAAGGTTTTTAAAAAAAAAATGCATTCTGTAATATACAAGAGATTATAAATTGGCAGAATTATTTAGAGAACACTTTATCCTCAGTAGTATTTTTCATTGCATTTGTGTTCATTGTAATTTTTACAGCCTAAATTCTGAGAATTTTTACACAAGTATTTCAAAGTTGTGTAGTAAACCACAGCACTAAGTCATCCCTACTTTTATCAGCCTTACTGTTCCTTGAATTAAATTCTTTTATTGTATCTGTGTTAATATTTTGTAATTTCTTGTATTTCCTGTTTAGTCACTTCTTCAAGAAAATGCATTATAATTTGGCCTTGTTCATTTCTTGTACTTCTGTATTCCAGTGGGAATACATTATGGGCTTCCTACGTATTGAGTATGCAGATGGGATAATACCTTAGGCTTTTGTTTTGTTTATGAGGTGTCCCCAGAAAAGATGCCTCATTGTTTTGTCTTCCTATTATTTGTTGACTGATATCTTAAAAATGCCCCAGTGGAGTAATCTTATTAAATTTAATCTTGATTTTCTGTGAGGTTGAGATTGCTATTTTAAGCATATAATATCTTTATGTGAAAATTATTATTGCTAGAATGGAAGATTGCATCTCATTTTGTTTTTATATTAAGAGCCTTCAACCAGTGTTCCATTATGACTCATCACAGGAATAGGGACTTATAATTCTGGTTACTGTTCATGTAGAGTAATTTAATACGTTTTGTTAATTATTTTATAATCTCATCTTTTAGGTGATGTTTCTAAATGAGCTTGAAGAAATCTTAGATGTAATTGAACCAAATGAATTTGTAAAGGTGATGGTCCCATTGTTTCGTCAGCTGTCCAAGTGTGTGTCATCACCACACTTTCAGGTAAATATCGCCTGAGGCTTTGTAGTTTTTATGAGGGGCAATAAGATATTTATTCGAGTGTTGATATATATGCAGATACTATTTTCAGTAGCAGCACAAAGGGAACAAATAGCCATCTTGGATAATGCAAGAAATCCCTAATATTTTTATTGATATACAAAATCCAAACTAAAAGCTATTGAAGGATTGGACCATTAATAACAGGAGGTTCATACACAGGTGAAACAGGAAATTAGCGGAATTCTGAAAGACCAGTATAAGTTGATGTTCAGCAACACTAAATGAATGCAGGGTGGAGAATCCAAAAAAAGCTCTCAGGAACGTAATCCTATTTTTCCCATAAGTTCGAAAGTTCCTCTAACACGGTTTTACCCAACACGGTGTTTTCAGGAATGTAACTACCGTGTTAAATAACCGTCTACTGTATACGTCCGAAACACTGGCTTGTAAGACGTATATATACAGTGGGCCCTCGACCAACTATATTAATCCAATCACTAAAAACACTGTGATAATATGAAATGTTCCGATTGTATGTTTGGATGGGACCACGGTGGCTGGCTGGCTTGTAAACACTGGCACTCACGGGACAAGTGAGGCACGCTCACTCCACAAGTGGAAGCGTCTCGAATGGAACGAATCGCGTTGGTTGAGTTTTTTAGCGCTAGTCGAGGCAAAAATTTTTGCGTTAAAATGTATCGCTAGTCTGATTTAACGTTATACGATGCCATCGTTGGTTGAGGGTCCACTGTATGACCAAAACAGTCAAAAGGTTAAGAAAATAGAAGAAAACTCATGCATGTACATGCACGTACAGTGTTACATAAGTGTACGTAAAAGTAGCATGTGTTTATGAGACCCAGGTGAATAGTTTTTTTTTTTTTTTAACACGTTGGCCGTTTCCCTCCTAGGCAGGGTGATCCCAAAAGAAAGATCTTTCATCATCATTCAACACTTTCACCATCACTCATACATAATCACTGTCTTTGCAGAGGCACTCTGATATGGCAATTTAGATGTTCTTCCAAACTTTCAATATCCTAAAACCCCTCTAAAGTGCAGGCATTGTACTTCCCATTTCCAGGACTCAAGTGCGGCTAACTGGACTCGAGTCCCTTCACAAAATATTACCCTGCTCACACTCCAACAGCTCGTCAGGTCCCAAAAACCATTTGTCTCCATTCACTCCTATCTAACACGCTCACACATGCTTGCTGGAAGTCCAAGCTCCTCGCCAACAAAACCTCCTTTACCCCCTCCCTCCAACCTTTTCGGGGACGAACCGTACCTTGCCTCCCTTCCCCTTCAGATTTATACACTCTCCAAGTCATTCTACTTTGTTCCATTCTCTCTAAATGACCAAACCATCTCAACCCCTCTTCAGCCCTCTGATCAATACTTTTAGTAACTCCACACCTCCTAATTTCCATAGTGCCAATTCTCTGCATAATATTTACACCACACAGTGCCCTTAGATATGACTTCTCCACTGCCTCCAGTCGCCTCCTTTCTGCAGCATTTACAACCTATGCTTCACCCCCACATAGTGTTGGTACCATTATACTCTCATACATTCCCTTCTTTGCCTCCATGGATAACATTCTTTGTCTCCACAGATACCTCAATGCACCACTCACCCTTTTTCCTTCATCATTTCTATGATTTACCTCATCCTTCATAATCCCATCTGCTGACAAGTCAACTCCCACATATCTGAAAACATTCACTTCCATACTCTTCTCTCTCTCTCTCTCTCTCTCCAGTGTGATATCCAGTTTTTCTTTATCTAAATCGTTTGATACCCTCATCACCTTACTCTTATCTATATTCACTTTCCACTTTCTACCTATATACACCCTCCCAAACTCGTCCACTAACCTTTGCAACTTTTCTTTAGAATCCCCCTAAAGCACAGCAAAATGTAACTGTGTCAACTCCCATTTTGTATTTGATTCCCCCATAATTTAATCCTGCTCCTCTCCCCAACACCCTAGCATTTACTTCTTTTACAACCATATCTATAAATATGTTAAACAACCATGGTGACATTACACATCCCTGTCTAAGACCTACTTTTACTGGGAAGTAATCTCCCTCTCTCATACACACCCTAACCTGAGCCTCATTGTCCTCATAAAACTCTTTACAGCATTTAGTAACTTACTGCCCATTCCATACACTTGAAGCATCTGCCACATTGCTCCCCTATCTGCTCTATCATGTGCCTTTTCTAAATCCATAAATGCAATGAAAATATCCCTACCTTTATGTAAATACTGTTCACATATATGCTTCAATGTAAACACCTGATCTACACATCCCCTACCCATTCTAAAGCCTCCTTGCTCATCTGCAATCCTGCTCTCTGTCTTACCTCTAATTCTTTCAATAGTAACCCTACCATACACTTTACCTGGTATACTCAATAAACTACTACTTCTTTCAACAAACTGGCCATATTCCACCGAGGCAGGGTGTCCAAAAAGAAAAACGAAAGTTTCTCTTTTTAAATTTAGTAATTTATACAGGAGAAGGGGTTTGCTCCCGGCATTTTAGCCGTCTCTTACAACATGCATGGATTACGGAGGAAGAATTGTGTTCCACTTTCCCATGGAGATAAGAGGAAATTAATTAAGAACAAGAACTAGTAAGAAAATAGAAGAAAACCCAGAGGGGTGTGTATATATATGCTTGTATTACATGTATGTGTAGTGTGACCTAAGTTTAAGTAGAAGTAGCAAGACATACCTGAAATCTTGCATGTTTATGAAACAGAAAAGACACCAGCAATCCTACCATCATGTAAAACAAGTACAGGCTTCTGTTTTACACTCACTTGGCAGAATGGTAGTACCTCCTTGGGCGATTGCTGTCTACCAACCTACTACCTAGGACTCAATAAACTTATTCCCCTATAATTTTTAGAATCTCTCTTGTCCCCCTTCCCTTTATATAAAGGAATTATACACGTTCTCTGCCATTCCCTAGGTACCTTCCCCTCTTTCATGCATTTATTAAACAAAAATACCAACCAGTCTAACACTCTATCTCCCCTGCTTTTAACATTTCTGTCATGATTCCATTAGTTCCAGCTGCTTTACCCCCATTCAATCTACATAATGCCTTGCATACCTAACACGCACTCACATTCTGCTCTTCTTCACTCCTAAAAGATGTTATACCTCCCTGGCCAGTGCATGAAATTACTGCCTCCCTTTCTTCATCGACATTTAAAAGTTCCCCAAAATATTCTTATTTATTTCCTTCCATCTCCATGGGAAAGTGGAATAAGTATCCTTCCTCTGTAAGCCTTGGGTGTCAAAAAAGCTGACTAAGATGCCGAGAGCAGTGGGCTAATAACACCTTCACCTGTATAAAATCCTTAAATAATAAGAAAAACTTTTAAATTAGGATGGTTGAATGTGCATGGATGTAGTGCAGATGATAAGAAAGAATTGATTGTGAATGTATGAATGAGAAGAAGCTGGCTGACCTGGTTCTAGGCAGAACACTGCTGAAGAGGGTAGGGGAGTTTCAGGAGTGAGAAATAAATGGGATTATGTCAGGTGTATCTGAGAATCACCTTGTTGAAATCATCTTCCTTGAAGTTCTTTTCCCTGGAGGCTGTACACTGATTCCAGCACTCTGCTGCTTCTGGAAACATTTCTGGACTCTTTTTCCAAAAGGCATCAAGCATGGCCTGCAATTTTGCTTGAATGTTTTCCATGTCTTCAAAATGCAACAACTTGAGTGCCATTTTCATTTTGGGGAAGAAACAGAAGTCACAGGTGGTTAGAGCTGGGTAGTAGGGAGGGTGAGGGTGACTGCTAATGTTGTTTTTGGCAAGAAGATAATTTTTTATGGTCTTGAGTCAGCAAGTTGGGCATAAATTTTACAGCCACTCAAATTGGTGTTAGTGTGTGGAGAATCAATGATTTGGAGGGCTCTTTTCGTACAGTCCTTGATGGAAAAAAAAGAAGGAAAATGTAGCTCGGTGAAGGTTTGGTGTACGTTTGTGCAATCCTTGTCAAGAAATTGTTCTGCAGATTCAGTATTCTCTTAGAAAAAATCTACTGGTAATGCCTTGTGTGGTCTTAGTAGTTTGACTGGAATAGAAATGAGAGACCATTTTTGTAAGTTTCTTGTAAACCTGGAATTTTAGGGTGTTATCTACTTTATATCTAGGCCCACATCTTAACTGAGCTGAGCTCATGGCTTAGAACTGTGGAACCAACAGTGGTTTCAAAGCAGTATAACTTTGGGACCAACCCTGAAAGAGTTTAAATGTCCAATGTACTAGTACGCAAGGTTCCAGACCCTTGATTTGAAAATTGCTCTAAGGATCCAAGAATAAAAAAAAAAAACTTATTTCTTTTAGATTAAAAGTATATTTTTGTGAAGGTAATGAAACAAAAAAATTCTCATTATTACTAACTGAGATGTATAGGCATGAAGTTAACAGCAAATGACCAGCTGACAGCAGCATCTGCAACTGCTGCACACACTGGTAGACAGCAACCACCCAGGGAAGTACTACCGTCCTGCCAGATGACTGTGAAACAAAAACCTGTAACTGTTTTGCATGATGGTAGGATTGCTGGTTTCTTTTTCTGTCTCATAAACACGCTAAGATAACAGGGATATCTTGCTACTCCTACTTACACTTTGGTCACACTTCACAGACACGCACATGCATATATATATATACATACATCTAGGTTTTTCTCCTTTTTCTAAATAGCTCTTGTTCTTTTTTATTTCTTCTATTGTCCATGGGGAAGTGGAAAAGAATCTTTCCTCCGTAAGCCAAAGCGTGTCGTATGAGGCGACTAAAATGCCGGGAGCAATGGGCTAGTAACCCCTTCTCCCGTATACAATTACTAAAAAAGAGAAGAAGAAAAACTTTATAAAACTGGGTTGCTTAAATGTGCGTGGAAAGTAGTGCGGATGACAAGAAACAGATGATTGCTGATGTTATGAATGAAAAGAAGTTGGATGTC